AGTTCCGAAATATTTTTAAATCTTACTATAAATAAACATTCCTTACTATGGGGTGCGCGCTATTTTGGGACGCGCATAAGCATTATTTCGAAACTATATATATTAATTTTAGGGGGCATGATTTTCAAAATAACGCTCATGAGTGTTATTACGCGAAAATACGGTATATAAATTGAGTCTTTATTTGATTTTTCTATATATTTATTTATATAAATTACCTAATAAAAATATAAGCAAGGCCCTATCTTTTAATATCAAAAAAGAAAAATTAATTACTAGCTATATTGAAAAACAAATAAATAAAAGATTAAATGAATGCTGTCAAAGAGAATATAACTTAGATTTTTTAAGCTTATTATTTACTATAAATATTGTAGCAAATATTACAAATTATGAAAAAGTAACAAATTTAAATGAATTATTTTTTAGCTATTGTGCTTATAGTATTTCCAAAAATAATATAGATTTAGGTATTACTCACTAACCTTATTGTTCTTGTATAGGATCCAGAAATATAATAATTTACTAATTTTAATATAACATATCACCAAAAACTATACCTAGTTCTTCATATAACACATCATTTAAATTTGATTCTAAATCAAATTTATAATTTAATATATTTAAAGAGCTTATTTATTAATTTCTTGTATTGATATTAGTGAAAAAAATAAAAATCAAGCTATAGTTAGGTGTTTATCAATTTTTGTGTTATCTTTGTTAAAGTATAAAATCAGATTTTTAATAATATTTGAACAATTCTTTTTTCATTTCTTTTAATACCAATTCTTAGTTTACAATTAGAACCTCTATTGACCCTATTGGTACTCTATTGATACCTTATTTGTCTCGATTAATGATTATTAACTAAATAGTTTACAAATCAAAAAAACCTCATTGACCCTATTGATACCCTATTGGTACCTTATTGGTGCCCTATTGAGTACTATTGCTCTAATCGATACCCTATGGACCTCCTTTGGTACCAAAATAGGCTGCAATAGGAGTTCCCTATTGAACTTCGTTTTACCAGTGGTAAGTATATCAGATATCATCTGAATGAGAGACTTCATTAATGTAAATTCTAGATGATTGAAACCACATTTTCCCTTGGATCATTCATTTATCGCTGTATTAATCAGTATACTTTATAAGATAATACAAGTACATATCAGAGCACAAAATTTCCAGGTGATGTAATATGCCTTTTTCCCGTCAATTGTTTTTTAAATCGGAATTTAGATGCGAGTTTATTAACCACAGCCGGAGTAGATTATTATAAAAAACGGAAAATTTCCGTCTGGTGAAAAGTTGGGCCTGAAATTGCCACATGAAACAGAAATCTCCGTCATTCTACTATAAAATTTGTGCCCTAGTACATATAAAGAATGTTCATTAGTCAGTTATAGTATTAAGTTCGCGGATCTTCATTAGAATGTTTCAAAAGCATGTGCTAGGTTATGCGTGTTGCCGATCATTATGTAACAATTGTCTAAATTTTTCATGAAAAATTTCAAACTTCTAACGAAAATATCTCAATAACTACTTATCTAAAATTACTAGAGTTTTTATTTAATTCTATGAATCAATAGAATTAAAACAAAAATTTCCATCGATTTTAAATAAGTAGATATTATAGCTCAAAGTTTAGCCGCAGTCTTTTTGAAATTTTTTTTCATTTTAATTATATGATAAAATAAAATAAAAAAATTTTATCGAGATATCATCAGCGATTATCAAAACTAAGACTGTGGCTAAGTTTTTCCAAACTTTGAGCGATGTAACTCAATATCTACTTATATTGATCCATTGAATTAAATCCCGACAGACTTATACAACATTCCATCTCTTAACATTCCTGTACACACCCAACAGTGATCAATGATGCGATCAAGATCTTTAATTCCCATCAGTCTCGCGATACTTCCCCGACAACTAAACTTGCTGCTGGAAGTAATCACAATCAGAACAATCATAGACTAAAATAGGAATAGCTTGATTCGTCAATCGTACGCTTAAATATTTATCCGCCCAATAATAATTAAT